TAGATAGATAGATAGATAGATAGATAGATAGATAGATAGAGAGAGAGAGAGAGAGAGAGAGAGAGAGAGAGAGAGAGAGAGAGAGAGAGAGAGAGAGAGAGAGAGAGAGAGAGAGAGAGAGGCCAATGCTTGCCTCACTGTGTGGAGGACCTTCCGCCTGCTGCCATCCAAGGAGTTCTTCGACTGGAGAAAAACAAGTAGCTCCAGCAGAACCTCATGTGTCAACTCATGCCTTTCTTTAAGTTCTTGTAATTTCTTTTCTTTTCTTTTCTTGGGACCAAATGATGACTTTTGTGCGTGACCATCTGCCTTGGATTTACCCATACCTCAGGGTTGCATCCCTGCCGACCACCGACCCGGACCGCCGACCATTTGTTTTTAGCCAAGCAGTAGGGCCGACTGGTCGGCCGTCTGCCGACCAGTCCAGGGCCAAGGACCCCCAACCGGTAGGTGCCGACCAGCCGACCAGTCAAGGGCCGCTGACCGTTGGGGTATGCAACGCTGCCATACCTCCTTTTTTGTTTGCGGGGGAAGCCGCAACAGCTCATCTGTGAGAAAATTACCCCCCTTCTACCACAAGTGTTTCATCAATGCTTCAGTTGTGCCAGGTACTCTTAGAAATGAGTTTTTTTGTGGGTATCTGTGGGGATGGAATGAACATAGATGGTCAGAATGGACAGACAGATCGGTAGAGCAGCAGCAAACCTCTGGTCCCAGGCCACTGTCTGAATGGGCCTGGGTGCAGACACCTTGGCCCAACCTGAAGCTACTGGGCACATGCGAGGCCAGGCCAGGCTGCCATCGGGCCAGGCCACTTTGGATATAGCAAAGCATGCAGCCTGGCCTGGTCCGATGGCAGCCTGGCCTGGCCTCGCATGTGTCCAGTAGCGCTGCCACCTGCATCCGGGCACTTGTGTCCAAGGCGGCAGTGCTGCTGGAGCAATCGCTCGCGTCCGCTAGCGCTAGGTGCTTGTGCGAGCACGGTCGCAGGAGGTGGGCGCTGCATGTAGTCAGCGCCGGAGCCCAGACACCGTAGCCAGTCTGGGGCTCAGGGATAGCAGCAGGGATTGGCGTTGGTCCTTGGTTGGAGGAAGAGCGTGGGGGTGAAGACGAGGGTGAGCTAGAGGAGGGCGAGACAGAGAGAACAGAGAGGGCACATACCTGGTTGTCGTGGAGGTCTGCATGGGCGACATCTGCATGTACTTCGGAGTCTGCTGCTGTATTTTTCCCGTTGCGTCATTAATAGTAGAGGCCTATACCACAGTTGTGTGATATTGGCCAATATTGTAGCAGTAGGATCGTAGTCCAGGCGCTGAGCGCGGATAGGAGGAGGAGCTTCGATTGCATTGTTGGTCTTGGCAAGAGTACGCTTTCATTGACAATTGAGTTTGCTGCTTTGGTTCTCCGTTGGTGTGACATCAGTGCATTTCTGCTTTCTGGACAGCTGTCGACTATCTGGCTGTCAGTGTGATTTTGCAATCTGGAATTCTGTCATTTCGCTCTTGCTCATTTTCCTTGCAAATGTACTTACCCACAATCGCACACTGTATGCAATGTACTGATGCACAAGTCTTGCAGTGTACGTGATGTACTTATTCACAGTCCTGCAGCCTGTAGTGTACTGGTCCACATTCTGACAGTGTTTGGTTTATTGTTCTTATTGCTTTGAACTCTGTGACTTTTCAGGGAAACTTCGATCTGGTGGGGAATAACATGCCCGTCTTCTTCATTCGAGATGGGATGAAGTTTCCGGATATGGTTCATGCGCTGAAACCAAACCCGAAGTCCCACATCCAGGAAGATTGGAGAATCATGGACTTCTTCTCGCATCATCCGGAGAGTCTGCATATGTTTACGTTCCTGTTTGACGATGTCGGCATTCCTCTTAACTATCGACACATGCCTGGGTTTGGCGTGCACACTTTCAAACTCATCAACAAGAAGGGGATGGAGACTTTCGTCAAGTTCCATTGGGTTCCGACGCTTGGGATAAAAAACCTGCTTGATGATGAGGCTGTAATGGTTGGCGGGAAGAACCATAGCCATGCCACGAAAGATCTGTACGATTCTATAGCTGCAGGAAATTACCCAGAATGGAAGTTGATGATTCAGACCATGAGCCTCGCCGATGAAGATAAGTTTGAGTTTGACCCGCTTGATGTGACCAAGACGTGGCCGGAAAACATCTTGCCCTTGCAGCCTGTTGGAAGACTTGTCCTCAACAAGAACATCGACAACTTCTTCAATGAGAACGAGATGCTGGCATTTTGCCCTGCACTCGTTGTTCCAGGCATACATTACTCAGATGACAAGTTGCTGCAGTCCCGAATCTTCTCATATGCAGACACACAGCGCCATCGTCTGGGGCCAAACTATCTCCTCATTCCGGTCAACGCGCCAAGATGTGCCCATCACAACAATCATCATGATGGCTTCATGAACTTCATGCACAGGGATGAAGAGGTTGGTGCACAGACACAGTCTCTCTCTCTCTCTCTCTCTCTCTCTCTCTCTCTCTCTCTCTGTGTCTGTCTCTGTCTGTCTCTGTCTGTCTCTGTCTGTCTGTCTCTCTCTCTCTCTCTCTCTCTCTCTCTCTCTCTCTCTCTCTCTCTCGCGCGCGCGCGCGCGCGCGCGCGCGCGCGCGCTTGCTCCATCTCCATTTTCTTTTCCTTCCTCATGCCTTACCATCCGCCCCCTTCCGTACAACCACCCTTAACCTCCATCTTAAGTCCTACTGTCTCCCTCTCTCCCTCTCTTTCCAGGATTAGTTGCTTTCTTTGTCTACTTCTCCCCCCTATTTCCCCTCCTCCTCTTCCCGGCAACTAGAATGATGTCTACATGTTTCAAATTTAACCAGTCTTGGGGTCTCACTCTCTGTGTTCCCACCTGGCTTCACACCTCTCCTCTTTGCCTCCTCTCTTCCTCCCTCTTTGTTCCTCCTTCCCTTTTCCTGACATCCCCACCTGTCTTTCCTGCTCTTTTGCACCCTTCTCTTCCCTCATGCTCTCTGACTCTTCAGCTCGCTCATATGTTGTTCCATCTCTGCTTTTGACCTTCCTTATCCCTTTACCCCTTCTCATCAAATCCTACTAAATGAACTACTCGGGACCTTACCCACGGCCTTGCTTTGGGTATCCTCTGTGGCACCACACATTATGTTGTGCTCTCTGACTTTTCAGCTCTTCATATGTTGTTCCATCTTACCTCTATTCTTGTCCCTTCCCATCAAATCCTACTAGACGAACCACTCAGGACCTTACCCACGACCTGCGGCACCACTCATTACCTGTCTTATAACCAGGGCCCATGTGATGGAGGCCTATTAATCACCTTGTGCAGAGGGGCTCTACTACACGCCATGGGCTGAGGGATAACCACATGCCATGCATGGGGGGTGGCCTACCGTATACTTGTGCTGCTGGTGCACATTCTGCCACCGTCTAGGAGCGGCGGGAATATTGGGGGGGAGGACACGGAGGGGGGTCATGGACAGACTCCAAGCCAGCCTTCGACGCCCTAATTGCAGGCCGAGGCGCACCTCCACTAGGCCCAGCGGTTTATATCTGGGCCAGTGCCAGACTTTTACACAGAGCTCGAGAGCTCATTCTGGCAGCACGCAGATGCAGAGCAGCACTAGTGAGAGGAGCTGCCCTAGGTAGTTCAGCGTAGAGAAGCTAGGAGAGTAGGCTGGAGTGGAGAGAGGGGGATGCCTGCAGCAGTGGAGGATTAAGAGACTTGCCTGGGCGTCACAGCTTGGTCTTCACTCCAGCCTGGGGCCGCCCTTCGACTGTGACCTGCATCAGCTCAAGACACCATCTTTTGCTGGTCAGTATCTGTTGACATCATCATATGTGTGTGTGTGTGTGTGTGTATGTGTGTGTGTGTGTGTGTGTGAGAGAGAGAGAGAGACACCATCTTTTGCTGGTCAGTATCTGTTGACATCATCATATGGGTGTGTGTGTGTGTGTGTGTGTGTGTGAGAGAGAGAGAGAGAGAGAGAGAGAGAGAGAGAGAGAGAGAGAGAGAGAGAGAGAGAGAGAGAGANGAGAGAGAGAGAGAGAGAGAGAGAGAGAGAGAGAGAGAGAGAGAGAGAGAGAGACTTGCGGGCCATATAGAGGAAAATTATAGTTCAAATGTTGGAAGCTGGAGACCTATGGGGACGACTTTTTCTGCCTTTCAGAAAACTTCTGCTGCTTTCGTTGATGCTTGATGAAAAACTTTGGACCTCAATCCACTACTCAACATTCGACACGTATTCGGTCTGTCGTATGGAGCGGATTCATTCGGACCGATCAGACATTTAGACTGTATTCAGACCATTGCAAGCTCCAGCTGCACTTAGAATGTTGTGCAGTGGACCAGGCCCTTGTGACCTTGCTTGGAGGCATGCACTTACACTTTCCCTCTTCACCCAAATATAAGGCAGCTTAGGCAGGTACTCACACTTCCATCTTCACCCGAATATTACGCACACACATTATACCTGTATTTAGGGCGAATTTCAATCTGGATACAGTGTTTGATGACTGTCTCCTGTGTGAGTGTGCCCTGAGGGAGGCTGGGGCAAGGTGGGGAGATCTCAAGTGTATGAGTGCTTGAATTGTGCTGAGTACATTGATTAGTATTGAATACAATAATAAAATAAAGTGAATTTAATGAATACAATCCTAATAAAAATGTTTCATAACATATAGCTGTACTCCAAAGTTTTGGCAAGTGCATGTTGGCCATGGCCCAAAGCCTCGAAACTAAATGGGTTTGTGAAAAGAGCTTTATGGAAGCTGGCCATGGCCAAAAGCCTCTACAAAAGCCTGTAAAATTCTGAATTAATTTAATTAAATCAATTTAAAATTTAAATGTATAATATTGTATATAGCTGTCCCTTGATGCAGAGAAGACAGCTTAAAAAAAAGAAAAAAAGCTGCGACAACAGCTTTAAACAAGTTAAAAAAAATGAATTGGTTCCTTTGACAAGTGCATGCTGGCCATGGCCCAAAACCTCTAAATTAGAATTTGGGGAAAACTAAAAGAAATGGGCGAGTTGTCGAGGCACACGATACCCACGTAGCCTACCCCCAAGCTTTACCGAAGCTGCCCGCAAAGCCCTTGAATTTAGGCACAAATCTGCCCCACAAAGTCACATGAACCAAAGCCTCCATCCAGAAAGGCGTTTATATGTGACTGTGCGGGATATCAACCCTTCCCAGCCTTTCCTGGTCCTCCCGCCCCTTCCCCCCCCCCCCCCCCCCCCCAAGTAATTCAGACCCAATTTGGGGTTTTGGGGGGTTGTGTTGCGAGTTTACTTGTTGAAGCACTAAGAAGTTAAGAACCAACATCTGTCATCTGGTCGGGTACATTCTGGACAGTTCATACTTTTGTGGTCAGATACATCCAGTGGAGTCATGTGAATATGATTTTATGATGCTCACTTTTGTATGCCTCCTTTTTTAAGTTTCCAAATTTTTTAGTGCCTCTTTATCGACTTCCTTTTCCAAAAAGATTTATGCCTCTTTATCGACTTCCTGGCAGGTCAACTACTTCCCGTCGAGGTTCGATCCCGTTCGCCATGCAGATAAGACGCCCCTGCCGGCTGTGGTGATATCAGGGCCACGAATGAGGGTGAGTGAATGCAGCCTCCTCCCGTCCACCCGGTGTGGTGTTGGGACCACCATCACACAGGATTCCTCATCTCCTATACTTCTCTTTTTCTTTTTCTTTCTAAATGTAGTATGCCTGCTCCTCTGTGCTTGGTAGTATCTAGTGAAGGTGAATGACAGTGGGAAAAAGAAAGGGTGAATGACAGTGACCGTGACCAGTGTCTGTTTTTTCTTTCGTGTTTTGGTATCACCAGTGTATCTGGTTCTTATCTTTTTTCTAGTCCTATTTCTGCTCTGCCCCCCTCACCACACCCCTCCCCCCCCATCACCCCTCTCCCTGCCTTCCCCCTCTCCCGCCCCCCACCCTCCCCCCTGAGTCT